CAAAAGTTGTATATATAAAAGATTAGTATATTATCAAGATGTCTCTGCTATTATTCCCAGACGCTTGAAATCACTGTATCCTACCAGATGTCCTCAATTTCATTTGCCTGTCAGTACACCACAAATTAGGATCTTGCCCTAGTGTCACAGGGACCTTGACTTTCCCCGGTACTGAAAACTCTTCTATAATCTTTCTGTAATGTAGATTGGCTTTAGACTGACATATATTATTTTCATTTGTATGTTGCCTTGAAGCAGGGTACACCTTTAAGCGTATTTGCTTGCAACAATTAAGGGCTCCTATGAATATTCTGCATGTACCGTTTCTTAAACGCACACTACCCATTCCTGATGACAAAACTGAATGAGACCTTTGAACTACGAGGCTATGAAAAAAGATCCACAGAATTTTGTCTCTCTAACCTGTGCTAAAGGTTTTACTATAGTATACTCACTGTGATCTGACACCAAACACAGTGAAGTCCAGTCAAGCCTTGGTAACATTTTATAGTTTTGTGACACTTATCGCATTTTGTTGGACAATTTCCTTCTACCCAGAAATGGTGCATTACCTGCAAAAGAAAAGTGTGGATGTACATAGAGTTACTAAATTAACAGATACATGGCAAAGTTAATGCTACCCCAAACTTACATCAGTATTCTTTTTGGACTTCACATATGTTTTGATGCAAGATGCAGGAGCTCTTGAGACACAGCGTTCATGGACTGTATACTTGCAAACTGAAAAACAAAACACATTAATAGATGTTGAGATAATGGTGTTTCTGACTACATTTTTATGAAACAAACAACGTTACCAGCATGCCATCTCTATATAATCAATCCAATCAGTCAATGAAAACTCAAACTAGACTGCTTTTTCCATGGACTACAAAAGGCCAATTAGAACAGGAAATATTATGCAAGTGAGAAATCCAAGAACACACCATCATTGCATAACAGGAAATGCTTAATTAAATCAGAGCTCACTAAATTTTTTCACAATAATTCCCAAATGACAAAAATATTAAAGACGAATTGATGACTGCCAAATGGTTTGGTGTCATTTGCTAGTAGAAAGAAATCTGTATTTTACAAACTATAGGCATGAGAGCAGCTGGCAAGCACAAAAATAAAAGCCAATGAATTTATGTTGTTCCTTCTATTGATTTATAAATCTTAAATGGCTGATTAGTCCATTTTCAGACAGCAATTGTTTTCATGCATTCCATGTAATCACCCCAACTTTAACTCTTACTTTCCCAAATACCAGCTCCTGAGAAGCCTTTTTTTCCTAACCCCTCTACACCAGTTTTAGGTAACCACTAGTGTTGACCACGTCTGTAAAGATCACACTAGCTGCATTTGGAAAACTTAAAAACGTCAGGGTACAATGCAAAGCTCTCCCGACTTCATCTATACAACTGTGCCTAGATGAGGAAATAATGCTACAGCTTATACCTGCATTCAATAGAGTCAACTATTAAAAACTGAGAATTAATTTCTCCCTGCATGGTATATGTCTCACGCTTTTGACCTCGAGAGCAATTAAGCACAAAGTACTTCTAAACACCTTGCTTGCACCTATTACACAAACCCAGTGGGAGGCGCAGCCATTAATCAGACAAACTGCAGGGAGTAACATTGTTGATTGGACCATGGAGGGATGGTGCAGCCCCCTGCAGTTTCCTTTTTTTTTTTCCTCCCACACAATCTAAAATGCAAATAACAAAATCTATAGCAATGTTTTGAAAATATATTGGAAAAGAAGCTTTAGCGAGACAAGGAAATAGTGTAATAGTTTTGTAAGTAGACTCATGCCCCTTGCTGCATGAAGTAACTGAAAGCATGTGGGTGTTCTTCAGATACTCTGGGACCACTGTTCTCACCAAATAAATGCCAAGCACAATAACAAATTTTGAAGAGGTACATTACAACAGAGAAAATTACAACTTGTAAGGCTGGTCTTCTTGGGGCAGTTTACTTTACATAACTTGCCTACACATTTCTGATAACTACTGAAGAAGATGATCTACATTATTCGCTCAATAGAATTTTCCCTTTCAAACATATATCGTTCTTGCATTTCCTCACAAGGATTGTTTACATCAGTCTGACGTAAAAAAATATTAAAGAATGTAACATTTCAAGATCTAATAGTCAATTCAGCATTTTTATATATATTCCAGTTACTGTCATCAGCACTTCTTAACCTGAAGTTATGAAATGTCTATTTGTTTGAATTTTAATAAATGTATCTCGCTCATTCCATAGTATTGTGAATGAAATTATACAATGTGAAAACACATACGTGGAGGATTTACATCTGAATTGTTTTAAAGAGATCTGTGGCCCACAGAGGAGAGAAATGGTCGATTCCAAAACCCTCATTAATTCAGACTAATCTCAAATTAAATCAATAGAACTGTACAGGCAGAAAGGTCCTGATCAGCTGTGATGGGCTATCTTTCATACCAAAAATGGAGAAAATAAGTTACACTACGAAACTGATCAATTTATCAAAAAGAACAATGAAAGGTGACTTGATACCATCATGAGAAGAATACAGTGGGTACTAAAGATCTCATTAATCTAATGGAGCAGGGCATAACACGAACCAATCATTGGAACCATCTACCAGACATATTCAAATCAGAAAATAGGTCTTAAAAAAAGATGATTAATCATTGGGACACACCACAAAAGAAAGATATGGATCATCCATCTCTTAAAACATTCAAACAGAGACAAAGGTGTGTTTCAGCAAGATTTGGTTTCTCAAGATGCAGGTTATGAGCTGGTCAAGCACAGATTATTAGGAGATACATAGATATAACTCAAGGAATTGAACTGTAGTAACTGCATCTAATAGGCTAATGAAGGTCAAATTAGATGCAGTAGTTTTTCTGTGTTCCTTTACCTTAAAATCTACAATCAGTTTTTATATCAAAGGATGGCAAGACTGAGATTTATGATTACAAACCAAGTAAACATACAAAACTTCAGAAGTGTTACAGAAACTTGATTTCTGGCAAACTGGGATTTTGATCTCCACAATTAACAAGACAAGAATTCTGTGCAAAATTTGAATAAATACGGGACTTAGATGTTAGTCAAGTTGATATTCATAAGGAATATGAATAATTATTAATAAATACAAAAGAGGAATAACAAAAATATAAGGCCGAAACTTAAGCATGATACTTGCTAAGAGAAAAGAAAAAAAAAAGAAAAAAGGAAAAAAGAAAAAGAAAAAAAAAAAGAGGCAGACTCCAAAGGGAACTAACACTGAGAGCTATTATAATACAGAAAACTCCCTCAAACAACAACACTGAAAGCCTAATATCCTGAAAAATTAAAAATGGAACCTTGAGCGCTCAAGCATAGAAGAAAAGGGGGAGACACTAGTGTGCTGGAAATGGTTTTGTACTGGGAAGCTACTAGTTCTTTGTTATGCAGCGAGCGCAACATTTCTAGGAATAGACATGTATGCAAATGGACACTGAAATGCTTATACTCACAAGAACAGCAGAGACCTTGCTTGCCTACTCCGATTAGCATGTTCAAACAAAGATTACAGTAGGCAGGCTTGTTAAAGTGTTTCAGTCTCCATACATGCTGCCCATCATCTTTCACATTCTGCACAGGACATAAAAGAAACAGATTTCACTTAATAAAATAAACAATGAAATATATAAGTGCCAATAAAAATTGGAGATTGACTCAAGTATGTAAAAGACAAGCTGTTACTTCATTTAATACCCTGCACCAGATCACAGTATAATCATTCTAAATACACAGGCAATGATATAATAAAAAATTCTTCAGAAGCTCATGGATATCCATGTGTTTCAAAAACAACTCGGAAAAAACACCAGGCTGCTGTCACCACTGCAACACAATGCTAGCAATAAATCTAGGCTGATATTAAATTACAGCTAGTATTTAACTAAAATTTGTTCTAGGCTAATTCTAAAAATAAAGGTGCTGCAAGTTAGAAGGTAAAACTCCCCAAAATGAACAACAGAAAGGATTTTTTAAAACTACAGAGATATTGTTAATGACCCTTAGAATTAGGGACAGGTATCAACATATGTGAAGTGGGAAATCTAACCACATCACAATAATACCTATTGCCAGCTTTAATTTATGTTAATCTACTGGCAATAGTCTATCAAAAAGCAAGTATTTAAGAGTGAAATTTACATCCTGGACCTCTTCTGCAAAAACTGAATTCCTTACATTTAAGCCCATGTTTTTCCGTTAGCTGTAGCACTATACTCAAATCTTGCATGAATAGCCTGATCAACTGATCGTCACTTACAACTCAGGGGCCCACTGTAACTTATGCGTACAACTAAAGTATCATCAAATCATTTACATTTATGAAAGCAAGCTTTCAGTTGCACAATTCTCCTCTTCTTTCTTAATGGAATCATTCTGAGACCTCACTGTTATTAGAAGGTTTTTAAGATTATGTGCACTTGGTACAGATGTTAAATTTATTCTGTAAATTCCAGGTTTCTTGGCAAGTGTGGCCATCAGACTTTTTCCTTTTTGCAATCATCAGAGGTTTTGATTTTAAAAAAATGAGATCAACCTAATGTAATATCACTGGATTTTTTTTTAATTTTTTACCAAATATAACATGCAATAGAACAAAGGCAGTTAATGTCTATCAGCTGGAAATAGGCTGCAGTAGTTTGATTCTTCATTGTGTATTACTGAAACACTATAGTCTTCTTGGTCATTTCATTACCAAAAAGAAATTGTCACATAGCTAAAGGAAGACACATCAACCTCGGTTCTCATCCAGTTTCTGATTTCTCATGTCGTCATGTATATACAATATTCTTGAGTAGATCTTCAATAATATGATGGTTTTCACTGATAAGGACAGTCAGTGTAAGTCAGTGGACATAAATTTTAATAAAAATTCAGTTTTGTCCTATATTAGCATATACCGCATGAGTTATGTCCTTAAAAATCAGTATTGGTCTATTCTAAGAGTTATCCACTAATGACAAGTCAAAGATAAAGAAGACTTCTTCATCCTTGTGGGGAAAAAAAACCCTGAAGGAAAATCAGCACTCCAAGAAATTAAGAATGTGTGGTTCAAAGCCAAGTCCGAGGAAAATAAAAATACCAATCCAGAACTAGTTCAATTGAGATGTTTCTGTGACTATTCCCAGCAACAGACTTGTTTCTCAGAATTTTGTCAGAGAGCAGATATAACAGTGCAAGTTCATTTCCTTTTAAACTTGGGCAAATATGTGCACAAATTTTACTTGATTTGCCCAGATCCTATAAACAAAAACATGTAAGAAATTTAATGTAGTATAAACATAATAATTTTCTTTAGAAAGTTGCCAGCCATGGTTTAAAGTTGTAGTTAAGTAAAATTCCCAGTTAAGCGTTTCAAGTGAGTAAGAATAAATATCTTTGAAATCAACACAGCCAAGAAAGTCTTTTGAAAGTAGACAATTATTCACTAGACAATAAAGACCACGTAAATCCTTCTGAGAAAAAACAGTAAACAATGTACACTTTCATTTTAACATTATTCAGGTCATCAACAGATAGAGTCATAAACCACAAGCACTTAAAATGCAAGCTGACCAGCTTTCCTTAACAAAATATTTGCTAGTTCTGAAAATTAACAAAAATTCATAATTATGCATAAACTCGCCCCTCTTCCACATTAGTTTTGTGTTACTTTTTCATTTTGATTTTATTTTTAAAGAATGGCCATTACATGTGAATATGTTGCTTCTTATTTGAACAGAACATATGGACTAACTTAGCTGGCATTTTCCTTATCAGAAAAACAAACAAGTCTTCATGTGGGTGTTCTGCCACTTAAAACACTTAACTGTGTTACAGACTGCAACTGATGCAAATCCATTACATAAACACAATGCACTTTTGGAAAATAGCAAATTAAATTTTTGCTCCTGTGCACTGCCAAAAATAAGCAATAAAGTGCTGCATATGATTATGCATGCACATAACTTTTTAAAACACTGCCAAGAAAAAAAACCAATGTGAAACAAAGCCCCCTCAATGCAAGACTTTAAGTATGAATAAAATCCACAATTCTGACACATCAGTGCATTTACTGACATTCACTCATTTTGCTTCCATATCCTGAGAAAGAGCTTAAAAACAAATAGTCATTAAGAAGATCTCAAAGCAGGGCAGGTACAGTAAAAATCTCTTCCTCACTTCATTATACATCCCTGAAAATGAAGCCTCCATATGCCATATGCAGACTTTAGCACATAATGACAATAGTAACATTTATTTTGTTAACAACGGTTCTCTTAACTTATGGTCCTGACTCTTCTATCATGGATTTGATTGCCAAATAGGACCTGACCTTAAAAAGCAAGTCAGCCATGAAAGAGCCAGTGTTAGAATTAGTGGAAAATTCTATGCAGTCACAGAATTTAGCTAGACATCCCTAATCTGGTTTAATATTAACTTACTTCAGCTTTTTAGATATTTGTGAATAAAGGTATCCAAAGAGACCTTAAGGTTTCGAGCACAAAACTCAAGATTCTGAGACATAAAAAAAGGTAATGGAATCACTGATAAATTTTCATCCTAGCAAGTATCCCCTCTTACAATAGCTACAGAGTGTCTGAAATACCAGCATGCTCAGTCTTGTCTATAAGAAGAGTCAGTAACAAGCAACCAAGGGAGAAGGATGTTAGCAAGTCTGCTAAATTATTCTTTCACTGCCTACTGTTATTTTGTTTTCATTTATTTTAAAAATATTTACAGGACTTGAAGACACTTTTATGATTGATCTCTCAGTATTGTTCAGTCAGTGGGAAGGTGAGAAGAGTATCCATTAAATCATGCAGCACCTCCTTTTAATACAAATGCAGTTAAGTGCTATATTCCTTTGGTGGCTCTCAGCAACGAATTCATGTCAGGTTTTGGTTTGTTCAATTTGGTTGGGGGAGAGGGAGTTCTAAGTCTGTTCTGGTTCAGCTGGAGAGGGAGTAACCTCATTCAAGAGACATGCTATTCGGGAGGGCTCCTCACTTCTAACTTCTGAGGTATTTTGTGCGTGTCTCTGTGTGTGTGCCGGAGAAAGCCGGGGGGCGGGGAATCACTTCCCCAGCCTTCATCCACGCACTCACCAGTGTACTATCCTGATCATCCAGAAATGCTTAAGCATTAATATGCACATGAGAAAATGACAGCATAGAAAAGGGAGCACAGGAAGAGAAATTAATTTATTTAAACAAGCTTCATAATTAGCCACACTACAAAGTTTCCCTGTCCCTAAATTGGTAGTCACCCGTCATCTGCAGAGACTGAAATGCTGCAGAAATTACATTTTAAATAATGGTAAATTTGTATACCTGCATGAAATACCATTTATTTTACACCTTATACACAGAACAGGTTAGAGTTACTCCTGACTTCTCCTGGGCTTTTACTAACCTACAAGCAAAAGGAAAAGCAGGACTGTAGTAAGGAAAGGCGTTTGCAAACTTCCTGCAAAGAAGTGGGAGCTAGCACAGCATGAAAGTAGACAGCACTGTCAAGAAGAGAGATGTGCACCTTTCTAGCAGCTCCTGCTACGAAGTCTCACAAAGCATTAATATTACCCCCTCTGCTGGCAATGCCGTGAAATGATACTGGTAAAATAGCTCCCGTTATCACTTAGGGTGAATCTGCTTCCCAGCTGGTAAGGAGCTGGCACAAAGAAGGTAAGCTACAGTTTCTTCTAGCAGGGACTTGGTTTTGCCCTCTGTACATATGGAAATAGCATATGGCTCATCCGCACTTCAGCCTTTTAGAAAACTCACCTGCCAGACTTCAGACTGGGCTTGTACTTATATCACTGAGGACAATAAGAGGCCAGATTGCCCTCACTCCTCGCTGAAAGGAAGAAATACAACTCTACAAAACTGCCTAGGTATTAAGCAGTCATTTCACTCTTCAGCCTGAGAGGGACTCCTCATGGTGCAACAGATCCCACGCCAGACTTGCAAACGTTTGCAAGTCCCCAGTTTGGTTCCGCTTTCACATACTCAGAGCTCAAAAAGTAAGCCAACAATAATGTAATATACAATGTAAGAAGCAGTATTTCCCAAGTGTGGAGTCACACTCAAGTATTCCATCCTATATTTAATCAAAAAGGTTAAAAAAAGTTACCCTTTAAATTCTTTGAGTGTAATGGCATAATATTTGCTGCTTGAGGATCCAAAATAAAATTGTAAGAGTATTTTCTTCCGATTTAATTGAAGCATAGTCACACTTCAACACAAATGTGTGTGTCCCATTGATATTTACCTTGATTTAAAAGGTGAAATGGGTTGAAAATTACAATTGGTGACTTAAAAGAAAGGCATAGTGGCATGGTTTCAAATCACTGACAACTTTACAAAGCATTTACTGTTGTTCAATTTCTCTCTCACCTTAGGGCAGCTTTTCAGCAACTGTACAGTACCAGATACAGCGCAACCATGACATCTAGTGGCCAGTGAAGAGGAAATAAAATACTTTCCACTCCTAAAACATGGGATTTTTTTAAACGCTAGCATTTGTGACTTGCCGTTTATACCTACTTTTTGTACAATCACTGACAGAGGTGGTAGTAATGATCCGTTACAAGGGAAATGAGACCAAAATATCTGGCATGGAATTACTTTAGAAGAGAAATCAAGTGCTTTTATCAGAACAAGGTGGAATAATATTGTACAAGTAAGGAACTGCTAGCGAAAAGCGGAGTACAATGTTCATGGCAGACAAAAACCCTTAGGAGCAAACCGTCATTAAGAGGCTTTTTGTACCCAGATTACAAAGGACATTATAAGCAATGCTAGGAGAGTCAATGGGGTAACTCTCAAACTTCACTGACAACGTTGATCTGCTTAAATTAACACAGAACAAAATAAGAAGGTCAGAAACTTTGAAGGTTTTCTACTGTGGAGGAGTAGAATAAACAGCCTTGTGGTCACTAGTATGCAGTAGGTCACTTCCCAAAAGCGTAATTATCAACCAGAAGGAATAATGCAGGGACATCTCTGTCCAATCTGTGTTTGGATAGGAGACAAAAAATTGCTTTAAGAAGCAAAAATAAATTTGAAAGTTGATGAGGACTGTGAAAATTGCAGACTGAAGTGTGACACAGCAAAAAAATTCTACCTCATACATTCATTATTAAAAATTGCACCACATAAATAACAATTTCCTCTATAGTTACCTAATTATTTTTTTTTGTTCATGAAATTCTCACTTTTTATGAGAGAATCTCTTGGAACAAATTCCACAAAACTGGCACAACTAAACCTCAGAGTCAGAATTATGGGTCTTAAAGGTTTCAGTAGGGGCATACAGAACACATTCAGCCACTGCTAAGTGGAAAAAGTGTAGTCATCCGAGTACAAATGGATTATAAACGTATACAATTCCAAGGTCTTTTCTTGCAAAATAAATTTCCAAACACTATGTGTATCGCAGCACCCCTACACAATACGAACCAGTTAAGTTCTTATTTAAATTCGTTATCTTGTATTGAAATTGTTTGTTTGGCACACCACTTGCCTTGAAAAGCACCAAAATAAGAATACGTTGTTTCTATCTTGGAACATTCCCAGAGATAAAACTCTGTATTTCTAAGTTCTAGAGTTGCACAGCAACTCTAAACTCAACTTTTAGGAGGAAATAGAAAGCATAAACCCCAGTAAGATAAAATAAACTGGATATTTAGGTTGATTTCCTAGAGAAATGAGACTTATTTATGCTCTTTGTCCCTTTATCTCCATGACTCTAAACTCCTCAGCCACTTTTAAATTAATTTAGTAATCTCAACTAAATCTGAGAGGGCACTAGAAGTTTCATGAAAGTCTAGAAAAAGGGGGGGGGGGGCAGAGAGAGGGAGATCAGAAGGAAAGTCGGGCAAATTTCCTTGTTACTTCTTTAACTTGGCAACAGCTGGCTAGCTAATATTTGTAATAACAACCTAATACTCCTGTCTCTTTCAGAAGGGGATTACTGATGAAGTCAGAGGGCAAAGACCACAAACCTGTGAGAGATTAGGCTATCTCAACTCATAAAAACTCTCATAGTGTTTTTATGTATAAACACTAACTTGTTTATTCTTTTATTTTTCTATAATATAGTTCCATATTTCACTTAAATGCTTCTTTGAATTTTTTTCATTAATTGTAACTACAGCATCTAATATAGTATGTAATAAAAACTGATTGAAAGGCTTTAAATGTAATATAAAACCTCTACAGGATATCTGACCTTTTTATATAGCTCTTAAAGGAAACTAAAGATTAAGTACAAACAATGCAGCTGAATTCTGAAGACAAATCTTCAGCTGAAATAAATTATCATAGCTTCACTGATATTAGCATAACAAATTATACCAGCTGAGAATCTTGTATTGTTTGTACAAGCTCTATACAAGAGTTAAGTATATTACAGTAAGTTAATGGACCCCAACTCAAAACAAATTAAAGACTTCACTGGTATCACAATTTTTTTTTTTTCAATAAACTACAGTGACAATTCTTTGTCACTATCATACTTGACAAGCTCTGAAATTGATCTCTTGGATGTAAAATTTCATCACTGCCTGAGTTCAGCATAGAGCCAAAGCACAGTTGGCTAAAGTTAAAAGAAGGCGAGAGAATTGGTTGGTTGGTTGGGGGGGGGGGGGTTTGCTTATTTTCAACATGTGAAGACTACCTGGACATGTCTAAGCAGCGGGTGGGTGGGGGGGGGGGGGTTTGCTTATTTTCAACATGTGAAGACTACCTGGACATGTCTAAGCAGCATAAGCCAGTAGGTTATGCCCTTTATTTTCACATACTAATAAGCCTGTGGAAAACTTTAAGATATCAGAACTTTATTATTTGATTACCGAGTCCAAAAGACTCTTACCTTACTTTTCATTATCATAACTAAAAGGAGAGAGAAAGACAGCCAAAAAGTAGAGCCCTGGGAAGCTGGGTTTGCAAAATGTAACAACAACATGTAAAAAGAAATAACAGCATTTCACTAATGGGAATGATGCACTAGAACGAAGAGCTTGGGTAATACATTAGATGCTGTACAACCATCAATATCATGCTATCAGTTTACCCAAAACAATGATGGACAGGCATTAGAGTTTTAACTTTCTTGATTTAACTTTTCAGTGTACTAAAATACACTTAGATTTGATCATTTAGAACTGTGTACAAACAGAAGTAGTAACTTTTTGCTGGTTTGATGGAAAATTTAAAAATCTGGCTTTTCTCTACATATTATGGGAATGGTTTAAGAAATCAAGAGCACTTTTAAACACAAAAAGAAAAATGGGAGCCCTTTTAGAGGATGGCATAATTTCCTCATAACTCATTACCAAATGACTAGCAATTCCGCTTGTACAGTTCTGTAGGTAATGGACTTCATTCACAGTAAGCAAAATATTAAAAAAGCATTAAAAGCCGCACAATCCATTTTACTCCAACTTTCAACTAATAAAACTACGCTTATTGATCAAAAAGATATTTGGGATACCATTGTAATATTTTTTCACAACTGTACATTTATGTCTCTTCCAACACATAAATTACTGGGAATACTCTTGATGACAGAAACACTGACCCATGCTGATAGCAGAAAACAGAATTTTGATCACTGTTTACGTATTTTTATTATTTCCGCAGTAAAGCTACGCACAGCCAGATAAATTATCTAATAAGTAGTAAAAATATTCAAAAGGATAAAATGTCTGATAACATACATTTACATAGCTTTTTTCTAATAGCTTTTGCTTTAATATGAAAATAAACCTCTACAGAAGGATCTGCATTAATTTATCATGGAATTTCAGGAGTTTTAAATTTAGAAAGAATGAAGTGTAGACACTGAAAAATACTCCCAGAACGTCTACACTACCTGTCAGAAAAGAAAAATCTGTACTGAAAATGACTACTAGTTATCTGCTGTACCGATTGCTTGAGAGCATTTGCTGCCCTTTGTTTAGAGTAATTCTATGGAAATAATGGAATTCAGCCTGACAAAGATCTATTGTTTGATGATAGGGAAGTAATTTAACATTTTTGTTACTCAGTCACACATATAGAATTAGGGAATTAGTACTTACAGTGATCCAAATGTACTGAAAGTTATCCTCAATTCAGATATTTAGCCGGTAATTTGATTAATAAAATTTTGCAAGCATTTTAGGTCTTCTGCTAAACGCACTGTTTCATTGCATATTACCCTACAGAAAGTCTCAGTCTGACCATTCTTTGTGCAAATAAAATACCATAAAGCAACTACAGCAGTCTAGGTTTAGTTCAGGCCATAGCAGTGTATGGGGAAAGTAAATATTATTTGTTATTTAACCTCAATATCTGAAAAAGACTTCAGAAAAAAATTAAATAAAAATGTTTCTCTAATAACAGAAAAGCATTTGAAATGTATACCAAGATACATGTGCTCAAAATTAGCTCAAATACAGGACAGCAGGTGGCACTGGCAACATGCCAGTGTTAAAACAGCTGCATTGAACTGGTATAAAATTGATCATATTACATGTCTTTAATGTGAAGTTGTAATCTCTTCTTTCACAACACTATCCTTTGGTGTAAGTGTTCTCTTTGATACTTCTACTTAGTATAGTTTATTTAGTATAGTATAGTTACAGAGACAGAAGAACTGTCTTCACAGGGATGTATCGTGACAGGACAAGAGCCAACAGGCAATAATTGCTGCAGAAGAAATTCCATCTGCGCGTAAGAAAAAAGCTCCTTCCCTTGAGAACAATTAACACTGGGAGAGGTTGCCTGCAGAACTGGTGGAATCCACTTCACTGGTATTATTCAGGACTTGGCTTGACAAGGCCCAGGATAACTTAATCTGTGGCCCTGCCTTTAATAAGAGGCTGGACCAGATGATCTCCAGAAGTTCCTTCCAACCTAGATTGTTCTGTGACTCAGTATGTTCAGGCCACACAACACAGCACCACGCTGAGAAGCCTAGACATTGCTCCAAGCCAGCTGTAACATATACATGGGCAGTAAAACATAGTAAAACTGTTCTTAACAGATACTACCGCAGCTAGGAATTAACAATATGCTGTTAACAGGACAAGTTAATCAGCTTGTAACAGGTTCCAGCTCCAGAGCTGGCTCATTTGGTGTTGCTTCAAACATCCTTATGTACCTCTGACTTTGAAGACACACTTCTTTTCTTTGCATGTCATTCAGCCATAATAAAGAAAAGCAAAGAATAGCCATTCTTTATGCAGGCCACAGAGAAACTAACCTGAGGGCAACAGCTGACATGCAAGCAGGAACTTGACACTCTTATGTTAATACTTACATTCTCTAACCCAAGGAGGACCAAGAGCGGGATTGTTGTCATTCCTCCTTGGATCCACTCTTCTAGAGAAACAGTGCCATCATGATCATAGTCAATTTCTTCCATCATTTCATGAAGGATCTACACAGTTTAATGAAAAATCTCATAAATTCCATATTCTAAGATAGCAACTTCTTGTTAGAACATGTGCAGATCTCCAATTCCCTCATCCCCATGCAAAAAGTAAGGAAAATATTATTTGTATGGCACCTGTAGTAAAATGAGTACTGACAGTTCAGAAAATGAAGTGTCATATTCCTATTTACATTTTATTATCACCTAAAGTTCCCAAACCCAGTTGTGTCCCCTTGTGTACTTATTATGTACAATACAAATAAGAGGTAGTTACTTTTAAGAAATTTTCAGAGACAAACCAGTTGTGTTATAAATGTTAATTACTACATGCACTGAAGAAAAGCCTTAAACTGTAGCAAGAATGTTTCACAGATCAGATTTAATCAGAAAAAGACTCGTAAAAGTGCTAATTGGCAGTGTCATAGTGGAGCATAGACTATTATTATATCTATCTTACTAATACATAGAATCACATGCTGACATGAAGTATCACAAAATGATTAAACGCCATTTCTAGCAACATTAAAAACCTGTGATAAAATGGATACTTACTGGACTCAGTTCAGTAACATCCCATTCAAGGTATTCTGCAACATGCATCATTTGAGCAATTATATTTTCCAGCTCCTACAGATGAATGAAAAAGAATGATAATATTTAATGCAATATTATAAAGACAAATTCTACTGCAATCAACTTATAATTCAAACATATTGCATTCAGTGACACTGTTTTATCGATGTTCCTAATGAAACGTCCTTCAGACTGGAAGCTGTCCACTCTTAGGTGAATCTGCTTCACTAGCAAAACATCAGGCATGGACCGCAAAGCATGCAGGAAGGTGCAATACAGCCCCACAACCAAAGGACAGCCTCCGGGTTGAAAGTAGTAATAGATTCTTCCTTCCTAGTTGATCATTTGAGCATTGGTTTCGTGATCTGAAGTCCACCCTATGATATAATGATGTAATGTCCTTTAAATTCCAGCACTCTGACAAACTATTTTTTTGACAGCAGTTGTATAATTCACAATTTTCTAATGGAAATAAGGCATAAAGTGGACGGTATAAACTAATACAGAGATATTTTCTTACCATTACAGTGCTCTAATTTCCTCTGATAATATATCACTGGTGCTCTTCCATATTCATACATACAATCTGCTTTGTAAACATGCTCAAATGCTTATCTAGAACCACTCTGAATTCTCATGTGTATTTATTATATACTAGTTATCTAATTCATATTTTGTATTGCCTAAAACTATGATACAGTATTTACTTTATACCTCTATATAACTTAGCTTCCCTATCCCCCTGTCACTTATGGGAATCACCTCCTCTTGTTTACCAATCCACTCTATGCTGTCTTCTTCAGGGAGATACAAAAGAAGGAAGGGGAAAAAAAAAGAAAAAAGAAAAAAGAAAGCTGCCAATAAAATACTTCTTTCTGTTAGCTAACAGAAAAAAAATAGTTACATTTTTTAAATGATTGCTGTATCTCTGATTTTCCTTCAAACATTTGGTTGGGCTAGTCCTCAAAACTTTGTCTTTAATACTGTTCCTCCATTCTTAATAACAACATGGAAGTTCTGACATCTGTCCACATACATCCACTGTGTGACCCTCACACTTTTCCCTTTTAATGAAATCTTTATAAATGGTGCTTTCATACACATCTCCCAGCAGCATACTAGAATTTTAGGAATCATATTAATTTGTCCCCTGCAGTAATATGATTAAAAATCAGAAGACTATAGAATAGGACTCCACGATAGCAGTGTCGGCATTTGAAAATTTATACAGCTGTAGAAGCAGCAGCTTAATGGCAAAGAAAACTCAAGAGTTACTTTCAAAATGGGTGACTTTTTATCAACTATCGTTTATACTGCTTCTATTAATTCAGGATAAATACAAACTTGATTTGGATTAATGTAGTTTTGTATAGGTATGCCCTTATGACATACTCTTACAATGCATTAAAATACATAAATAATGTTACCGAACTATCCAGGTGTCCATTCCCATCTGTATCATATAAGCGAAACATAACTAAAAAGGAAACAAAAAGAGAAGGAAACTCAGTAACAATATTATTTCATACAAAAAAACCCCAAACAACCCCAAAACACAAAACAACCAAGCCTGGGTTTCAAAGACAGGACAGACATTAACATTTTCCTTTAATGATCACACTAACTGTAGACCCACCAAACACTTTGAATTATGCGAGAGGTTCACTCAGCAACTACCCTGCCGCAGTGCTTCCAATGAGACATATTAGCAGGACAGTGCAACTGCACGTCTTCCACATAATCACTCCAACAGCTAATTTGGTCTGTGAATTTAATTCTGGTTCCTCTTAGAGACAATCTGTGTTCATGGTGAGTACCACCAAAAGGCCCTTCTCTGTCATCTCACCAAACAGAGGATAACACACAACTGGTCAGGCAAATGTTGATAAGCCTGCTTAAGTTACAATGCTATCCTACTCCCTTGGTTGCAGCTATCACTATTCAATAGTGATATTGCTTTAGAAATGCTTTCTGACCAACTACATGAAACAGAGGATTATTATTTGAAGTATCTAATCAGCCAAATCCAACAATAAACATTCCTCACAGACTGCCAGCATGACTCGTCCCAGGACCAGACTTGCTTCATCAATTTGAAAATGTATTCCCAACATTTTGGGGAGCTACCCAGACAAGAATAGCTGCATTTTGACAATATCCAGAAAGAATATATACTTTCAAGTTTGTATCATTACTTGATTCCAGCCACAAGAGCGGGTATGTCCACCATTACCAAGGTATTTCAAAGCAGCTTACTCAGCTGATCATATACTGCATCAGATTGCAGTGCAGAAAGAAGCCTGAAGCTTTGGTAGGAATAATGTTAAAAGGCTAAGGATGAAAACCAGAAGCCTAATACCAGTTTACTCTTTGTCCCTACTTTCTGGGACAGTTAGTCAGAGCTCTGAAATCTAAACAACATCCCCTTCAAAAGTACTCATTTTTTACCCCCTAGATCTATTTTCTAAGGAGTAAGAAGAGAGCCCGTGTACAGGTGGTTCCAGGACACCATAATGCCTTGACTGAGAGCAAAAACCAATATAATGAGAAGTGAGAGGAAATTCTTAGCAATTAGAAAGTAAAGTTCAGAAAGAATTTGATTATTTTTGTCTTACAGCAAAACATATTTAACTGCTATATGGATTGGTTTGCTTCCCTTATATCCCCCATCTTATTCCCAAGTTGTTCACCTAACTGTGGGGAAAAAAGGTAAGTGCTGAAGTGGTAGAGTGGTATAGTAATTTTTGCTAATACATCGCACTGATCTTAAGAGCTGTAATATAAAATTGAAGATATTTGCTGTAGTACATTGTTTCAAGCTACAAAGGTCCATTATTCATTAGTTATAGGCTAAGAAAACCTACACAAATATGTTTCTTTGCCTGTGAATTACATAGCAGAAATGTTTCAGTGTAAAATAACAGTTAATGCTAAAAGCCAGCAGAGATTGGTACTGTCCCTGCTAGTACGCCTTCTACCAAAGCTGGTCAGAGCATGACAGCTAATATTATCTGGCAAAGGTATCATTAAGCATTCACAGTTTCCATAGGGATGAATCACTGAATCACTCAGTGATAAAGTTCAAATCATTTGGTTCTCCTTCCTCCTCCTCTGTGATTGTAATGCGCTGGTTAAAAGAATGTTCAACAGTTATCATGAAAGCAAGTTTTAGCATCTCCCTGATCTTTACCCACTCCAGAGAAGTAGTGCTTACAACTTTTTGTTCCTTTAACATGAATCAGTAGGTCTAATCAGTCATTTTAAAACGTGTATTAGCATAATTATAACTGTTTCACCTTTGTAGCAAACAAAGTCTCTCCGATTACGTATGTATTGGGTAGTGAAAAGGCTCAATCTGTGCTTTTGGCTAGACTCTGAAAAACTATGCTACTGGTGTGGCATGCAATCTCTTTTCTATTCATACTCTGCTAAATATTCATGTTCTTGCATGATTTACGCACTCTAGGAGAAAAACCAACAACAAAACTGGTAAAAAAACTGAACAAGAGTTCTGATGCAAACTACAGAGCCCAAGTCAATCTTTTCCCACCCCCTTACCAGACAGCACTGACTGGCCACTCGATTTCTATTACTAGACTGCACACCTTTTGTAAATAATTAAAAATGGATTAAAATAAAGTTACCAAGATAAGATCAGTTGCTGCATTGCTATACTTTCACCTGCAACCTCTGGACTTCTAATCTTGCATATGACAAAAGGTGGCATCCCAGAAATGCCAAAAGTTCAAAATTATGTTCTTTTGAGAAGAAATTGGGGAATTCATTCTCAAAAGCACATGCACAAACAGGTGCTGAATGCACTTTCTATTTTCACCAGCGCATGTACTGTGAAAACTGTAAGGCTTGTCACTTTCCATGGAAGCCTGAGTGTCCAAGAACTGCATAGCACAGCAAAAAGACAGACTATAACTAATCATATTACTGCAAAAATACAAAAGAACAGTGTGGCATTCTCGAAGCTTCTGTTGGTATGGAAAGAACAGAAACAGAATAACCTGGAGAGAGTCTTGGTAAGAGAAACTGGCAAAAAACCCCACAGCTCATAATTCTTGGAGTTTCTGTTCATAATAGCGGAGAGAAGTTTGAGCATTTGTAAGCATATTTTGTTTGTAAAGCTATGGCACCTGTGGAGGTCGTATGCTTCCTCCACACCATTTATGTCTAATGCCCTTCATACTGCTTCCTGTCATTTCTCTGAACAGTTTCACAACAGATACGTGTCTGGCATCCATGGTTATACTGATAAAAAATACATACAAATTGAGGAATGGGTTGTGCTGATAAAGCCTCATGTAATTGAGAGCTAAAATAACTTCTGCTGTTGGGGTCGTTAAAGGAAGAAAAGTTGAGGTATGAAACACCACTGCTCAGTTCCTAGGAAGTACCCTGCATATTTACAAGGGGTCTTTCTTACACGTTCAAGAATCACAGTGTGGACACCAGCAAGCAAAGCTTGGTACATGTGAAAACAACATGGAGAGCAGAAAATGGTTTGTATGGATCAAGTCTCCAGGTTGAGCCGCAGAGCATGAAGGTACTTAACAATATACACCTTCAACTATTTGCAATATGACCTTAGAAAGAGAACTTAAATTCTTCCAATGTATCTCTGCTATGAAAGTTTGGGATATTCTTTATATTCAGACCCTATATAGTTTATGAATAATAAATATGCTGAGCATGTCAAACAGGTGAGGTTCGCAGTGCTTAAGACCTCTAGAAATACACTGTTAATAAGTTAGAGAATCCATTTATCTGCTGGAATATTTCAAAATCTATGAAAATCCATAGATCGTATAGATCCAAAACCTAAACTTTATTTCCTCTTCGTGTATTTTATCTTAAAAAATCCTCCAGCTTATACCAGATTTTATTTGAAAGCACCGCTTCCATGTTCTGCTTGTCATGAATCAAGTTTCCAAACACTCAGCTATGATTCAGAGTGCTTCCATTTTTTGTCAACAGAAAAAAAAAAAAAAATCATGATTTGAGATTAGTTTTAATATTAATGTTGGCAACTCTGGAATAAGCCATCCTTTCTTTTTTCACTCCACTGCTACTAACTTATAATTTACCTAACAGCCACAGGACCTACTGCTATAAAATTATTTCAGACAAAGGATTAAATTATACCATTAATTTATAAGGATAATTCAACTAAAATCAATAAGGAATTCTGCATACTAATGGCACAGTATAAGCCAAAATTTAGACACTAAAAAGTGACAATACATGGTATATTTCAACTCTGTTTGACAAAGTAGAAAATAAACCTATATAATAACTGTGTCCTTAATTATATGTCGTAAATGCAAATGATCTTGAATGTACAAAACATGTAAGTACCGTACATTTATTAGATCAGGCTCTCTCGCTCCTAAATCATATAGATCATTCATAGTCTTTTGCCTATGCAGTTCCTGTTGCGGGAAGTTCACGGAACATCCCCTCCACTAAAATCATCACCTGCTCCTCTGTCTCTCCCCCTTTTCCTTGTACCAATTCCTGACACCAGGGGAGGCAACCGATCTCCATTTCGTGCTACAGTTTGTGCATAGAGCTCTTCAGAGCTCTGATAAGGCTTGCATAGCTTGCTACCATGAAACAGTTATTATATTGTAAGTTGAATTCAATCCTAGGATCTTAGTTTTCCTGTGCTTGTGTTCTGAATGCACATTCACACACACATATGATACCAAACTGGTATTACCAAATTTGGGGATGGCTCCTTATAATGTTTACTGAGGCAAAGGTATTGGTGATCTTACAGTACAAAGTAGTCATTGTAAGCTAACTACAGGCAACAAAACATCAAGATACTTCAACAATATGCAGTCATGTAACCTTGCAATGAATTCCTCATTCCAGCAGAAGCAGCCTACCGTTTGCATTTCCTATCATATTGAGTATTTACTTTCCATACAGTATTAGAGCCTGATCCCACAGTTCTTTTATAGACAGACCAGCTATGTATATCAAAGTATATTTGGTCTCAGTAAGGACTATATGATTGGATTGACTGTTTATTTATCTGGAAAACTGGCTTCTAAAATTCCATAATGGGGAAACACACTGTTTCTTTTTTTTCCTCTGATCCGCAGATCTGAGGAAACAGATCTGAATAGGCAGAGGTGTTGGGCTTTAATGAATCAGGCCCCTAATTAAAAAAATCAAGTAATTTCTAACTTCCAGTGTCAAACACTCACTCCCAACAGTGATGCAGACTTGGATCATTCTTGGCTTTTCTGTATTCACTAATATTATAGAGCCCACGGCCTATATTAACAATGATTCTTTGTTTGAATTAGCTTGTTTTCTACAGATTATTCACCACTTCTATAAATCTTTAAGCATCCTCAGTATATTTCATTTGTTTTTCTCAGATCTGATACTAATCAAGAGACGACAGTATAGAAAGGATTTTAACTGCAGAATGTATGATCCTTACTCCCCATCTTAGCATGTGCAAGATAGAAAGAATTTAGTTAAAATCTCATCAAATTATACTATTAGCAAGAATAAAAGATCACTTCTGCAATAATGGTCACCTAGAACCCTATTTTTGTAATGCAGCTACTCAAAACTGAGTCTCAAACTCAGAAAATTTAGAAACAGATTTTTTTATGGCATTGAAATAAATATACAAAATTAACTTAAAAAAGAACATACATTCTAGCTTGTCTTCAGGTCTTCCTCTTTCTAGCAGTGACAAATAGCAAACAATATCTTTCAGCTGGATCATGTCTGGTAAATGTAAGTTGGCAGGAGTAGGAGGTCGGGATGCAGAGGTACCTTTGTTAAGTCTCAGACCTGGAAATAACACATAGCCTTTGTTACTCTTAACATATAATATAAGCAGAAAATGAAAACATAAGTCTTGCATACATACATCTTCGTTTTATGTGAATCTCGGATGACTTAATTTAAATATAAATGTGAAGTTTTAAACAATTCATGTTCATAGTTTATCCAGCAAAGGCAGAATTAAAATGATAGTGAGGTTTTAAAATATTATATGGATAAAGCAAACTATTGGGAAAAAAAATCAATTATGGAAATGGCATAACCCTTTTTTCATTTGTGTTGATCTGATGTCATTTGGCTACAAAAAAATTTGGTGAATATTTTTATTCTACTACATTACATGTTAATTTAAGTATTAAAACAATCCCTGCCCAACGCTGCATCCACTTCTTTGTGCTTGTAGTAGCTTCATTTAACTTATAGATTGACACCAGCTACACTAATTGAAGATGTTTTAGTGTCAAAGAAAACTCTGGTAATACCGAAGTGAGTAGTCTTCCCAAAACCACAGCCAGATGTGTATCAGAGCAACACATATTTAAAACATGGAAGCCTCAGCCACAGAATACTATGAAAATAAGCACAGAATTTAAATAATAGTCATAATTGCTCAAAGATTGTGATCAAGAGCAGTTCCAGTGTACCACTTGGAATACAAGCTTCAACACTGCCAAACTTTTTGTTTCAAGAGAACATTAATATGACCGGTCCTGATGATATTACTGGAATCTGCAGGACCAATAAATAAGGAAAAAAGGGGAAGGACAGGAGAACACAGAGAAAGCAGTAATAAAACTTTCTTTACAAGCTTGTTACATTTCTCACTGACTTTAGTGATGTTAAAGATGAAGCTTTACAAAAGGATTTACTGTGCTTAAATATTTTCTATGACTAATTCAGAACAGATTCATCACTGCACACATAACCTGCATACATAATTTCTCTCATCCATTTGTCTTGAACAAGTTAATTACTGTAGCGAATGGAAACAGAATTCTGGTGGGGTTTTTTCCCCCCTATTTTTATCTTGAAAAACTTTGTTACAAACTGAAGATATTTTCAAAGGTCTACCGAGGTACACGTTAAAAAAAATAATTTCAGTAAATAAGAGCAAATTGGCATGTAGAAAATGTATCTTTGAATCAAGTTCATGTTCATGGTTTCAGGCAGATAATAAACATTGAAAGTAGATATTTAAATGAATAAAAAGATTTAATAGGGCAATGTTCTACTAAATGAGCTTGCATGTCCGTCAAGTGCCCTTAAAATTAAGACATTACAAAATGTTAATCAGCTAAGATGCTAGCTTTAATCACACAATTTACACAAAGAGTTCACATTCCAGTCTTACATGAATCTTATGCACACAATAAAAAGTATTATAAAAGTTGGGCTAACTCATCTCAAAAATTTATAGTCCTGAAATCCAAATGAAAAGGCATACAAATTTTAAGGTATCTTTTAGCTTAGCATCAGCTGCAAGGTACAGGTTAAAGTATTACTTCTGCAGCAGAGGTGAGAGACGGGTGGCTGCAATGTGCTGACTTACAGATGACTTACAGTGCTGCTGCTTACCTGGCATCTGTTTCCATCTCTCTTCAGACACCTTAACTGAAAAGACAATTTATAAACAGACATGAGTGGACCAAGAGACACTAAGTAAAAAACAGACACGTACCAGAGAGATTTATGAACCCTGCTACTTTCCTTGTGATCTTCTCTAGCTCTCGTGTACCTTTCGATTTTCCAGAAGAATGTCAAATGTTTCTGACAAATTTATTTCCCAGTACGGTCAGTTTTTTCCACTATCGCTAACATTTAAAAATTACTAGATAGCCTAAAACAAATGTTTCCGTAATTTTCATTTGCACATCAAAATGTACTAATGCACACTTTTTCCCTTTAAATGCTACAAATTATAAAGATGCCACAACTAGTTTAAATCTCATTAATTGAGTTACAATATGAACAGTATATTTTCAGGCACAAATAACTTGCATGAAGTGAACTGAATTGTCTCTCTGAATATGTTTTGGATATAACTATTTATCAAACAATCCTTCTGGTATTACACTAAATACATATGGAAGACTACTAATCTGGTCTCCCGTTACATTATTTCTAAAGTCCTTACTAACAGAACAAGATGAAAATTAACTACAAACTGGGAAAAGTGAGTGAAAGAGAAAAAAATTTTAGGAGGTAGCATTAGAGTGAGAAACTTAGCACACAGTTTAAACAGCAACAACAACCACCACCATAATAATGATGAATATTATTATTACTTTTGTATCATCATTATTATTATTATTATTTTACCACACAAGAATAAAATCTATCAGAGAAAATTATAGTGAAAGTGAAGAAAGCTGAGTATGGCCTATACTGGGCAGAATTTAGCTGTAAATCTGGCAATACCCTAAAAACAGCTGTTATCATTTCTACATATGAAGTGTCAAAACCATAGAAATACCACATGAATAATAAAAGATGATTTTTTGAAACAGTAGTCAGATACCATATGTAAAAACACAGCATAATAAATCAATACACACTGCTAAATGGCAGCTGCTATTGGAGTTATCAGGCAAAAAGTGTTAAGTGTAAAAGATTACAAATTTTGGTGGCTGGTACAGTGCATGTTTATTGCTGACGCTACTCATTGATGAAAACGTGACAAAAACGTCAATGAAAAATTAAAAGCAATGAAAGTTAAAATGAAATTGTGCTGCTGAGACTTTATAGGAACAGAATCTATATTCATAGTTGAAAAAAATGCAATGCTGAAAGTTTATGACATCCAAAATACACCCTGCAGCATACAATAAAGAATACATTTAGACATGTCCTTACAGATTCTGTTGAAAAGCATCTTCAAGGGCAAGGGACTGAATCACTGGTCTAAATGACTTGCCCGAACCCATGAGTAAATCATTATCAGAGCTGTAATTAGCAACAGAAGGTTTTGAGTACTCCACACAACTGATGATTATACCATAGTCTACTAAGCCTACTGCTCTGCACATGGAACCAGTCTAGATAACTGACAACAAAAGCCCAAGAAGTTGGAAATGTACTGTCTACACAGCAGATACTTGTGGAAGGAGATGTGTCCACGGCAGTTCTGATTAGAACAGATAAAAAAAGATACCTGAAGAGATTTTTTGAAATGAAAAAAAAAAATTCTCTGAAGAACTATACCCTTGATGTGGTAAGCAAGCTTTGCTAGCAGGAAAAAGTTTATTTGGTTAAGTCTAATTACAGTTAATGACCGTTATATAAATACATTATAATATAATAGAAGATGATAATGTAATATGTTTTTTTTGGTTTGTTTGTTTGTTGGGTTTTGCCAGGAAATGTAAAGCTAAAAAATGGAAATAACGGGTACTGCAAACTTTAATAAAGAAAAATAACTGAAACCCATCTATTTAACAGCTGAGAACGGCATGCACTAAAAAAAGAAAAAACAGGTCAGACTCAATGGGTGATATCTGAAAGCCTATAATTAGTATTGTACACTGAGGCATCTTTGCAAATCTAGTGCTTGGTATCTGCAAGAAAAGCTAACATTTCAGCTAGTAGCACTTGTACCAAATTCACAACTTCTGGATGAGTTGCAATTTGAAGACACCTAATCTTCATATAAAGAATTCAAGCAATTAAGTACCCATCAAACCGCTGGGTAACTTGCTCTAAGCATTTGATTATCCCAGCTGTTCAAAACATGCAATTCATTTTGTTAAATTAGTCTAACTTCTGCTTTTAGCTACTGGATTTTGATAGAGTTCCCAAATTGATAAAGTGCTAAACCGAATATTTCAAGTTAGGAAGGTAACCTTAAATTTCTTCTGCAAATTTTCTTTAGAAGTTTTAGAAAATTTTGTAAGTTGACAGTTTTTAACACTTTTATATATTTATAACAGTATTTTAACATTATGTCCTCTGAACTCAAAATCACTTTTAATAAAAATGTTCGGTTTAGCATGAAAATTTCAAACTCCATTAAAGAAGATCCTTACATTGGGAAAAGAACTACGGCTAACACTTACAGGTTATTTAAAACATCAGTAGCTTATAAGTATGTAGGATTACTAATTCTACATACCTAGACAATTATCACACCTAGACAATTAAGAGCAGCAGCAGTAACTGGGCACAGAAACTATAGAGCACCAGCAGGAGCCTCCTGCATGAAGCTCTGAAGGTTTCTAAGTGTTTATACAGTAGAGCAGGCAGCAAGATCATGTAACCATAGCAATCTGATTAGCATTAACGTGACAAAGCCTGTCCACTTGGTGTCTCAGCTGCATCATTATTGTGAATTAAAAAGATGAAACCATTTAATTTCCATTTCTTTTCATAGTATTTCTTGTTCATGATTTAGTTTCGCCAATTTCACAAATATCAGAACAAAACAAGAAATATATATAGTTTAGAATTCCATATGTTTATAGCTATTGAAGTAAAATAGCAGGGGGAGGGAACCTTCAGCTCTTGTATTACTGTGACTGTATTACTTACCTCCAGAAAGGTGCTGGGGTTTGTTTTTTATTAACGGACTGCAGTGAGAGATTTTGTTGCTAAATGATGTAAAAAGATGTTCAACGAAATCATCTGGTAACTCTGCCTCCAGAAAAGTCTTCATGAAAAGCTTGAACCCCTCTAAATCAATTGTCTAGAGTGAAGGGAAGAAAAAAAAAAAAAGAAAGAAAAAAGTATTTTCAAATGTTCATTTTGCAAAAACTTTCATACTAACCCATCAAATAATATTCTGTTAACAAAAACTAGACTGTCTTTGAAAATACTGATTTCTGAAGATATAGCCTGGCATACCTAGTCTTGAAAGTGACTGATTATTGAATGAAGTATTACTTTGAAAACTCACAGTATTGCTACAATAGCCCAGAGCACAGTGTAAGACAGCCCAGAGTAAATTCAGAGCACTTGTGTCAGGACCCAAAACTAAGTTACACGCTCTCTAGTTTCTTGATTAGAATATGGCTTAACAGCACATACAAAACTGCAACCAAAGGCATCTATGGAGCTCACAGGGATGTACCTAGCAAGTCTTACCTTTTCCCATAATTAGGCAGACAACAAGCAGGGGCTTTTTGGATGCCTAATTCAGGGAATTGAAGGCCTCCTGTCTTTTCCTAGGTGGCAACACATTTTGCTGGTATTTGTCAAAGAGAAACTAATCAACCTGTCTTAAATGGGTTCTAATAGTCAAATGAGAGTGCTGAGACATGCAACATTACTTATAGGGGAAAAAAAGTTGTTGATTTGAAACATTTGTCATTTCGTTTAATTTGGTTTTGCTTTTGCCAGCAAGGTAAGAGCTGATTAATGAAATTCATTGATGATTTCTCCTGGTAAAACAGCATTGTCTGTTTTAAGTAACAAAATGAATCACAGAATCACAGAGTATCTCAAGTTGGAAGGGACCCATAAGGATCATCGAGTCCAACTCCCTGCTCCTTGCAGGACTACCTAAAACTAAACCATATGACTAAGAGCATTGTCCAGACACTCCTTGAACTCTGACAGGCTTGGTGCCTTTGACCACTTCCCTGGGGAGTCTGTTCAGGTGACCGACCACCCTCTCAGTGAAGAACCCCTTCCTAATGTCTAATCTGAACTTCCCCTGATGCAGCTTCATTCCATTTGCTTGTGTCCCGCCGCTGGTCACCAGAGAAAGGAGATCAGCACCTTCCCCTTTGCTGCCCCCCTTGAGGAAGGCATAGACTGTGACGAGGTCACAGCAATGTAAAGGATTATGATCCTATTTTATCCTACTAACATAGAACCACTATAGATAAAGGTGTCCTGAAACATATCGAGAGAGCTTAAGACAATTTCAGTTTTAGCTCAGAAATAACTGTGACACAACTGCATACTTATCAATGATGCTACTCAGTTACGCACATGATTTTAAAACAGCTTATCAATCGTTAATCTGTAAAACATAGCATTGCTGTCTTTGTTTCTAGATCAAACAGGACAGCAACTTTTCATCATTAAATAATTAAGGGATAAAGCCACATTATACCACAAAATCGACTTGGAGAAATTTCCCATGCCTTTCAGGAAGACTCCATTTCTCCACAGAAAACTCTGGTGCAACTCCTTTAGTTCAGCACAGTGCATGCAGCATTAGGAGGGAAAAGACTTGCAAGAAATCAGCTTGAAACCATGCCAGAAAAAGAAAATTGAAACTAAATTTTCGAAGTGCCTCAGTGACTTTGGAATCTGAATCACAGTATAAATAACTTTTATAATGACTTTAATATAATTTTAACACTTTGAAGCAGGGATTCCTCTCCCCCGCCTTTTTATTTATTTATGAGATGTAGAAATTTCATGTCCTCATAAAATAAGGTGTTTCCCATTAAGGCCAAGACCTAACTGCCCCAAGGTAACGTTTTAAATATGTATCACTGTCCTTACAAGGGACCAGCAATGCAGACTGCAAAATTTGACTGATCTTGTGCAAGTCATTATTATTAGGAATGCAAACTTGGCTAGAAGGTATCTATGCTGAGCTTCTAATCCAGAACACCTAATTTGAGAAAGAAGTTCAGTGAAACCAATAAAACTCTTACCTACTAAACACAAAAATAGCAGAGACTGAAAAGAACTGGCCTCCACAAGGCTCAAGCTTGGCGTAAAATGGAAATAACTTGGACATAGACTCATTATCATTGTCTGACCATAGAGTTTCAGCCACTCTTCCACTTTGGCAAATCATACAGTTTCACTCATGCTACAAACTTCATGTTTTTCCTCAATAATAAAGTCACTGACATTTAATTCACTGTTTATAAACTATGAAACCACAATGGCAAAAGGATTTGTATCAGTATCCAAGCAAATAGGTCATTAGTTTACACTATATAAATGGACTTTTTACCTGCAAGCATAACAAATACATTAATCACTAAATCAACTAAATCAACTGACTTTAACAATGTGAAATTGCTTTGTTAAATTGTTCATTAATGAAATGTGTCTTAGCTATTTCACTAAATTACATACAAAGAGGAATAACCAAGTGAAAAAGGAAAACAGAAAAACAAATTAAAATGCCAATTAAGTTAAGCTTTATGGATGGACATGCAAAATATCTCTGTATTACATAAAGCTTTTTTTTTTTTTAAATTTACCTTGTCTGTGGATTTTATGTATATACTGCTAAAAACATCCCTTGAGTTTACAGCTATCTTAGATTTTTAAACTGCTGCCTGAGTGACATTGGTCCACCAAGCTGCCCAAAACTAAATCCCTATTGCTACATTTTTTCCATTTATGGGCTTAGAATTATGCCTGGCTAGAGATCTGGATTAACAAATAAGGTTAAAATTATGTGTTTGTTTCTTCCTGAAGATTCACTTTCTCAAAGATGTTCAAACTTTTCAATATTTGCTAAAGATGGTCAGATTATCATTCACCCCAGCGTCCTCCAAAGCAAGTGTTCCAAACTGCCTTATATTTTCTGGCCAGGAAAGACAACAGATATCAAAGTAGCACGACTTGGCTGCCATGTCCATTTATTATATTTGACACCCTGACTGCCACTGAATAGGGTGCTCAGCAAAGGAAAAAAGAAAGCAGGTGGTTGTTCTATAGTCAGATTTCTTCAGCTGAAAATGCTTTATCCTCTGCTCTAACATGATCTGTGACTTGTATTTCCCCAGGGAAGCAGCAGCATTCATACAACCAGAGTTCAGACGTTGCACATCCAACAGCTTTCAGATGATGCTGAAAGTTAGTTAGGAGCTGGTAAGTGACTTGAATACACAGAAATGTTTATAATAGCCCAAAATACAGATGCGAAACCACATGCTGTATCAAAGGAATGTGCAACAACAGTCCTGCCTAAAGGAGATCTGTGTAGAGCCCTGTGATTAGTTTTTGCCTATATGAAAAGAACCACAAAAGTGAAAAACATTTTCAAGAGGACCTAACATACTTGGTGTAGATTATCCTATTAGAACTGAGCTCTAAAGTAATGCAGTCATTTCTGGAAATTTGTTTTTCTAAATGTATATACAGTAAATAACAAAACTGAGCTAGACTACAGCAGATCTAGAAGTAGTTTAGATTATCCATCTAGCTTTCCAATGAAAAAGGGGTGAGCTTTCAAAAAAAGGCTCACTTTAAATTACTTTCCATGTTTTCTCTGTCATCTCTCTCTCATTGTAAAACATATAAGCCATTACTTTCCATGTTTACTCTATCAACTCTCTCTCATTGTAAAATATATAAGCCATTACATAACTGTAGAAAAATTGAATAATTTCTTAAAAGAAATCCTGTGAGGACCACTGTAGAAGACTTACAGGTGTAGAGTATTACCACCAAGTAGAGGTTTTAGTATTGAGTATGGTTCATTTAGAACAGAACACTTAAAGATGCAAAACATTTCCTCAGCTTAATTTAAAATAACTTTCACAGAAGAGAAAACACCACACAATATTATGAGCATTTCTCTATTCTGCAATTATACAGTATTTTTCTTTTTTCCTCATGGAACTTTACCCTTCGAAAATATGCAAATGCTTCAGTAAGTAACTACCCTTGCTCTAATTACTAGCATTTCCCCCCAACCCCAGCTACTTTTCAAAGGAAGCACACAATGTTTTCATAACCAAAAGACAAAAAGAGGAAAGCAGAGAACATTAATTTTCCACACTAACATGGATCATGCTCACTCTTCTATGTAAACCACAATATCTTCCTTTTAAATTTCACTGTCATATCAGAATTTCTCAGATGAAAAGTTCAATAAATTTTGGTATGGTTTGAAAATAATTTATTTCTGTTAATGAATTTGCAAGCATTAATTAAACAGTTTAGATCAATAATACCAGAATAATATATAAGCCATAATGGTGGATGTTGTTTTCTTAAGCATGCAGGTTAATTGCTTAATTTTCAACAGAATTTTCCAGAAGCTCCAGTTGAATTCAAATGAACCGGAGAAAGAAGGATTTAGCATTTCAGAAGGCATTTTCCATGACGTTTCCCAAGTGAGGGGATGAGAGCATGAGAGGATGTACCAAACTGACTACAATTAACCTGGCACATGAATTAATTCATTACATTTCACAAGAGACTATCAGGGCATAGGGAGATTATGACAATTTTAGGGATCTCAGGAAAATTTTCAACATAACAGGGAGATATGTATGGACATAGCTGAAGCAGCCAATAGTTATTCAGAGGAACATGAAAGAACTTTCAAATCATTTGGCCTAAATCTTCAGGGGGACAGGGATGGGGGGACGGGACGAGAATAAAAATCTGTACTGTTTTAGCTTTGATTCAAATAAAAATGGTACCAAAAGCCTTGCCTGTAGGTCACAGAAAGGTAGATGTTTTTATATTAATCATATATAACTGGATTCCTCTTTTTATACGCTGAACAATTGATTCACCAAGTTTACTGGAGCTCCTTTTCTTATGTCTTACAAAAATAAACTTTACAAAATAAGGCTTTATAAATCTTTATAATCTTCTTTATTATTGGGTAATAAAACTTCATTTGGTAATGAAACATTTTTATATAACCCCAGAGAAGTACACATTCAAAAACACCATCGAGTTTCAGCTAATTTAAACCATAACATCCATGTAAAATTAATTTTAGTACTATTTTTAGAAGCAGTTCTTATT